AAAAGCGCGTGAAAAAAAAAAAAAAAAAAAAAGGAAAGAAAAAAAGTTTGTGAAAAAACAAAGAGATAAAAAATAAAATAAAATAAGAGGAAAGAAAGGGAAAAAAAAATGCGTGGAAAAAAAAAAGAGTGAAAAAGGAAGGAAAAAAAACGTGAAAAAAAAAAAAAAAAAAAAAAAAAAAAAAAAAAAAAAAATTCGTGCAAAGGAGGAAGAGAAAAAAAAAATTCACACCTATTATTTGTTCAAGCAGCCGCAATCCAACACAATCTTCAGAGGTTGTAATCTAACAAATCTTCAGGGAATATTGGAATTGATATCAAACCCTATAATATTGGGAGTATATATAGGCAACAAATTACCTCCTATTTGTATTAGGATTTGTATAATTCAGTTCAAATAGGAAAGTAAAATTCCAATCCAAAGTTGGATAGAAAAGTAAAAGAGGAAATCTTACAATCCAAAGTTAGAGAGGAGAGGAAAAAAAAAATAAATAAATAAATAAAAATAAAAAAAAAATAAAAAAGAAGAAAGTTGGATATTTCAAGTTCCATTTGAAAAAGGAGACAAATCCTGTCAAACTTGGGACTCAAAATTGGGGTAATTTGTAGACACTAAAATTTTGTGGGCTTTGGTTTTGACAAATGGACCCATTAAATATGGGCCTAATGTTTAATTAAGTTATTTGATTGGCGCAAGCTTGGTCCACTTAAATTTTTTAATTAGCCCAGCCGAGATGGTTAAATAAAAAGATAATTATTCCTAATAAAATATATTTGGAATAATTATTTTTAAGGATAATTATCATTATATAACCAGCCCGACCCAGTTATTATTTTATCCCTATCAGGAGATGACACGTGTCATCATCCTATGGATCCAAGAAGCCTATAAATATAGGCTTGAAGGAAGAAGGAAGGGGATACAAATTCAGAGTTCAGAAATCCAAAGACTTATAAATTTAGACACAAATTCAAAAATCCAGAAGGTCAAGAAATTCAGACACAAATTCAGAATTCAGAAGTCCAAAAATCTAGAGACTCAGAAATTCAGACACAAATCAGAATTCAGAAGTTCAGAAATTCAGAGACTCAGAAATCCAGAAGGTTCAGAAATTCAAAGACACAAATTTAGACACAAATTCATAATTCAGAAATCCAGGGGGGTCCAGAAATTCAAAGACTCAAAAATCTAGAAATCCAGAGGGATCTAGAGATTCAGAATTCTAGAGTAAATACAGAAGCTCTGCCGACATTCATCCCCAACATCCAAACCTAAAGGAAAGAGCAACAAGCATATCAAATCGTACCGGTCTTCATCAAAATTCCACGGTGATCAACAGCAAGCACATCAAATCGTGCCGTTCTTCATCAAAATTCAACAGTGATCAACAACAAGCACAACCAAAGTCGTGTCGTTCTTCCACAAGTTCTTTGAAGACGAAGAACAACAAGCACATCCAATCCAAAACCGTGCCGTTCTTCCTCATATTCAACAAAGGACAACAAGCACATCAAAATCGTGCCGTTCTTTTCCTTGCAATTCAACAAGCTCAAAGAATCATCAAATAACACTGTTCGAGATTAAGTTTTGGCAGCCCTCGATCAGAAATAATCGGCGACCTTCTTCAACTACAAATACTTAAAGAAGATTGTCAACAACCCGATTCAAGATCAAGTTCCAACAGCCCTTGTATCCAACCAACAAAGGAGATCGAATCAAAGGACAAGTTCTTTCTTTTGTACAGAATATCTCAGAGGATTGTACTCAATTTCCATAAATCAACAAATTACTATTTGCTCCCATATTTTGTTCTTTATTTGCAGACTACAAAATTTGTGTGTACAATTGGCAAGGTGGCCAAGGAAGGAACCGGTGAGAGGTGCAGCGAGCTTTATGCTTGGCTGTGTGTCCGACAGGACTGTGCAGCAAGGATGAAGATAATGGTAGCAACGAGGATCTAAGGCGGTGGACAATGGCAACAAGAGTCGGGATTCCTGTGAGGTGCTGAACCGACAAGAAAAAAATATATGTGGGTTGAGACGATGGTCAAAGAAAGGTTCCACGATAGTGATGGGCTCACAGTAAGAATTGAAATTTCCAACCTAATGCGGGGATAATAAGTGGTGGAGCAAGAACGGAAGCTTGAAACCGTGATGAACACAGTGACCATTTTGCAATAGCGGCGTTAAAATTTTCGGCGTGAACCCCGGCGGTGGAGATTGGAGATTCACCCTCGGGGTCAGTCTTAAAGACGACCATCTGTTGGTCTTTGTTCGGACAGAATCACACCGGAACTGATTGATCTAACTGAATAGTACGTTGACGATCAGCAGCGACAAGGATGGTGGCGAGCTCCACGGTGTAGTTATGAGCTCAAAAAACGGCGGAACTGAGGTTACCGTGGTGGAGGTGCCGGCACCGAAGGTGGAGAAGGTGATTACGATGCAGAATACAACATCATATTCGGATTTTTCGATGGCGTTCACGACAATGATGCTGTCGTGGAGCATGATTGACTTTAGTAAGGGCATGGGTCTACGATCTGAGGAAAAAGACAATCAAGGACAGAGGTTAGCCCCGGCGCTGACAATGCCGACGAATAAGGAGGAACTCGGTGATGTTGTTTGGGCAGCGGTGGACTAGAGAAGGTTGAGGATGTAGCAGAGGTGACTCGTTGCCGGCCTTGTTCGTCTTTATAAACTTGTTTTTCGATACTGGAAACCTATATCGTGATCGGCCTTATTTATCTTCGAAAACCCACAACCACATGAAAAGTACTACATTCTGGCGCCATCACCGCAACCTATGGCATCAATTTGTTTATGAATTTTTTGGGTTCTTGTTGATTACAGTAGGCCGAATTGGTGAATTAGGTTGTCTTCTCTTTTTCCAGTGAACTAGGCATGATGTATAGATTATGGGTTTTTTTTAGCTATCCTTTTTAGTCATTTCACAAAATATTAATTTTTTAAATATATTATTAAATGTGTAGCTAAGGGCATTTTAATCATAAATGTGTGAGTATGACCTATTTGCACAAATGTCATAATTTAGGGGTATTTTTTTGCGTGTGAATGGTGCAATATGCACTGTAAGCATACTATAGGGTGTTTTCTACACTTGACCCATATTTTTTAGTATGTTTGATAACAATATTTTTCAAAGGAATTCTATTGTTAATTTTACAATAATATCTTTTGCCATATTTGATAATAGCATCTTTATACAAGAAGGAAAAATTTTATTTTTATGAAATTGTGTAAGGAAAAATAGGTACTTAAAATACAGAATATTTACCCAAACACAATTTAAAAAATTAATAATTTTAGCTTCATTCCAAAATTTTACTGAATTAAAATTAATAGCTGTTAAAAGTATTTTCAATAGTTATCAAACACATTCAAAAGTAATTTTTTAAAATAAAAACGTTTGAGCTTTTAGAATATAATGGCCCAATGTTTCAAATTAATATTATTTACAATCCTTTCATTTATTGACTACCGAAGAGCCTTGAATTTGGCAAGGAAAGAACCTTCCTCTTAGGCGAGTCTTTTACTTGTCTTCACTCTTGGGGTCAAATATGGGCTTCTTCATCCTTCTTGGGTCGTAAAAACACATCCCTCGTGCATTCTTAAAATGTAGGGTTTAAGTTACGTGTTGTGTTGGCATACACGAGGGTGTTTTTTTTAACAAAAAAAATACTCAAACATTGGATCTTCTACCTTGAAAAGACAAACAAAACCATCGAATTATTTTTACCATGCACATAGGAACCAGAGTTTTATGCAGACTTAACAATATTAGTTTTTAGTGACTTTTGAGTGATTTTTGTGAAATTTTTTATTTCTAAGGCTCTATTGTCAGTAATATATATATATATATATATATATAACAAAAATGTTAGATTAAAGTTAGTGAGTACAAAGGCTTGAAGTCAAACACCCTAAGCCAACGCAGAGTAAGTCAACCGCTAGGTTACGAAAGTGTTCGCCTCTATTATTAGTAAAAACTAACTAATTTAGACCTTTTTGACAAAATTAATGAGTGAAAATAAACATTAATTAACAGGAAAGAAGTAAAAATTATGAGATAAAGCACATAGAAGAACAATATCATTGAAAAATAAAAAATAAAAAACTACTTTGATATTTGATACTCTTATTTGTTGCATAAGATATTTAGTAGTTACTAGTGAGAGCATGCTAGTAGAATGAAGAAGAATGGTGAGGAAATGGATAAAAAGGACCCTATAGTCACAACCAACTTAGCCGAGTCAGGCCCGAATCACCACTGATTCTTCCATTCTCACCCGAGTCATAGTAATTCTTGACTCTCCCTACTGTATAGGACTCGGCCTACCCACAGCCGTGACAGATAAAATTGTGAGATTTTAGCCGTCCAATGATGTGAGCCCTATAACGGGATTCACATGATCGAATGACTGGGATTTCACAATTATATCATCATTTACCATATATGTTAGCTCCGGAACTTGGAGGAATCCACATTCATTATGCTGGTTTACTCAATGTAAACAACACATTAGATTCCTATAAACCAATCAAATGGCCTATACCATTAATGTTAATGTATTTTCATACAGTACTTAAAATGTGGTCAAATAGTAGTGACTGTGAATGACGTACACTCAATTTCAATCAATTGTCAATTAGCAAATCTAATATCTTGCTGAAATTTAAAAAAACAAAAGTAGGATTTGAGTATCTTAAATTTGGAATCGAAAGAAGTTTAGTTTAAAATTTGTACTAATCAATTTAGTTTAAAATTTGTACCAATCAATCCCAAATTCAAGGCGTCCCAAATCAGCATATAAGGCAGAACAAACATGCCAAAATTCATGCCTCTCACAACTGGACATTTTGAGTACGAAACAATCTGGCTATAAGCAAACAACAACATAACAAAATCAAAGCAAACTGAATCTAATTGCCTTCTCCACTTAAGGTTAATGTCAACCAACCAAACTCATGAACAGAGTATAAAACAAAATATACAAGTTGCATAGCTCAATGTAAATTTTACATACAGAAGAACAGGCAACTTATGACCTCCAATTAACAATAACACAATAAGCCCAGAAATTCATCCGAAAATACAGGTTATATACACTGAAGTAGACAAAAGATCAAAAGATCAAAAAATAAGGGGTAAAAACGCCGAATTCACTCGGCTTTTTAGTTCTAATCTCCTCCAAAAACTCATACTATACTAAAATTTTAAATAAAGACCAATTTGAAACAACCTATGTTACAAAGCTTGGTACAGGGAGCCTGAAAATGTCCCGGTACGAGCTTTTGCAGTGCTGCATCCGTGGAATGCTTATGCAAATTTGGACGATAAGACCATCCGGAGCTCATTTTGAGTGTAGATCCGACTTCCCATCTTCACGGTGGCTTGTTGGATCATCAAATCATTCACCACAGACACACTGGCATGGTGCACTTCTAGTTCAAGCTCCATCAGGGCACACATTAGCCTGGCTGCCGGGTGGTTCTTCTTACTGCACTGGATTCGAATCATCGCGTCCCAACCTATGATCTTCACATCAATGTCCATATCTATCAACTTGTGATTCGACAATTTGAGATCTTGATCAAGAGGAGGAGGATGAGCTGAACCCCGCGATTCTTTACTAGCCAGTTCCTTCTTCAGTGACTCCACTTGACTCCACACTTCCTTCTTATCGGATTCCACAGTTTGAAGCTTCGATTTCAGCTCATTGATGTATGCAATGGCGTCGCCGAGTAGGGATGCTTTGTCCATTTTCGAGACATTGGGCACCACTGCACGAAGGGCGTAGAACCTCTGGTTGAGCTTCTCCCTCCTCTGCCTCTCAGCTTCAACATGATTCAATGGCTCCTCTCTTCCATTCGCGGGTTTTCTACCACGCTTTCTAGGCCTCTTTTCGGGGTCTATAACTCTACTGCTATCTGCAGGACGGACCACAGAGGCCTCAAGATCGGAGTGGTCGGAATCACCACCGGCACTTGACCTCACCACGGTGGAAGAGGGCAAGATCACCCCCGAAGTAAAGGATAGCATCCCCTCATCGTTGCTACCACGGGATGTTGGTGACCTCTTCTTACTGTTCTCCTCTACTACCCCCAATTGTGAATGACCCGAAAAGGGATTTCCATTTCCACTGCAAGAACTTCTCTTACTCTCCCCAAAATTCAATATCTCCCCTGACTCAGGCTTGCACAAATGTGAATTCCCATTCCTAAGGTTGATTCCGTCAAACTCCAATTCAGAGAAATTCAATTCCCTGGTGAAAAAGCTGTGTGTTTGTTGCTGGTGCTGTGTGTGAGATTGGTGTGATTGGTGACTGTTAATTTGAACTGAGCTAGGGTTTTCAGACAAAGTACTCGAACTAGGGTTTTCAAATACAATTGGCTTTGACAATTGGTGATTGTTAATCGGAATTGTTGTGGAGGGTGTGGTATTCGCCGAAGACGACGGATCAATGATGTAAATCGTCGACGGATCGTTGTCGCCGCCGTGATCCGCCGCCATCGGCCAAGAACCCATTTCGATTTTATTGAAATTGAACAAAACCCTAGCCTTGTTCATCAGATCCGACGACTGTAATAACAATTCCGTCGAACCCAACTCGACTACACCATTTGCAGAAGGTATACACACCATGGTCTGCAACCCAAACACCCGTCCCTGCCGACCTCGCTCGCAGGGTGAGGCGGCGAGTCGGTCGCCTCCGGCGACCCAAATCGGAGCCGAATTGAAGAAAGCCTGGCCCGGAAGAGCACTTCCATTAGCGAACGACTGAGTCATCGACACCAGAAAGAACCACTCAGTATCGGAAACTTCTTCGTCAACAGCTTCGTCCGGCGAAGCAGAGGAGCCGGCGATGAGCGAATTGAGCTCCCGGAGCACCTTTTTCCGGTGCTCTTGCTCCGCCGTCGACGAGGACGACGCCGTTTTGCGCTTGGGCTCGCCTTTGTAGTACCCATCGCCCCAACCCAGAACCGGCGAAGCAGAGTAATCGAGAACAGAGGATTGCCAGAAGATCGCGTAGGTCCAGCTCTCCCGAGCGCCTTCGATCAGGGCTTGAAGACGCTGTTGAAGGCTCTCTTGATTGAATTGCGAAACGGACGGTGGTGATTGGTTTACAGTTTTGGGGAGATCAGGAGTGTTGTTGGACGTCGAAACAGAGGATGACGTAGGAGGTGGAGGCCAAAACGACGTCAGATCGGAGGTCGTGAAAGCCTCCATCATCGACGCGTTGTCGTCCGTCCACAGATTCATCGTTGGTAATCGATAGTCCGTCATTCCCATATACCCAGCAACCCACTATCCAGTTTACACACAGAGTAAACTTTTTTTTAGTGAGAGAAAGTGAGTGTTGGTTGAAGGGATTTTCTAGAGAGAGAAAGCGGCTGGCGTGGGGGAAAGGAAGGGAGGGAGAATGGGGAAGTGAGGGGGAGGAGATTGGATGATTTAAGTGGGGGCTGCATTTGGGTTTGGAATTTATTTGGAGTTCATTTGAGCTGAATTTGGCAGGGAGTGAACTAGTGGACAAAAAAAAGGCAGTTTCCACGAAGGGTAGGCGATTTAATCGCCGAGTTTATCGTCGAAAGCCGGCGAATCTAGTCATTTGTATTTTTATTTTTTTAAGGGTTAATATGGTACTATTGCTAATTGGAGAAACTAGGTAGCGAGTATCGTTGCACGTGTATTACACGTGGCGTTGTTATGTTGAAACGGTTTTGAATTCTGGGTTTTACCGGAACTGGACCGGGACTCTTTCCCTCTCTTTTTGAAACCGGGGGATTACCTCACTGGAGGTGGTGGGGTTATTGTTGGAATGGCAATTGAACGGGTTTTAGAAATGAGAATTTTTTTTTGTATCCTAGACGAGGATTTTCTCATGCTTCATTTTTGTATTTGTTTAAATTTGCTTCTCTCTTTAATGACTTACTCGGAATTGACAATTAAACTAGTTTTGAAAAAAGTTCTTTTTTTTCATATTTGTTTAAAGTCATTAGCGGAGGATTATCTCATGTTTCATTCTCGTATTTGATTAAATTTATTCCTCGCTCTGATGCCTTACTCAGAATTGACAATTGAACGAGTTTTGAAAAAGAAATCTTTTTTCGTATTCTTTTAAAGACATTAGTTGATAATTTTCTCATACTATATTCTTGTATTCGTTTAAATTTATTCATTCCTCTCATGCCTTGGTCAGAGTTGGTAATTGCGCGGGTTTTGAAAAAAAGGTCTTTTTTTCATATTCATTTAAAATCCTTAGCTGATAATTTTCTCATGCTTCGTTCTTGTATTTGTTTAAATTTATTCCTCCCTCTCAAGCCTTACTCCGAGTCTGTTTGATGTTGCTATTAAAAAAATAAAAACGCATTTGTTAATAGAACAGTCAAAATATTGTTGTCAATAAAAAAACATATTGCGCATTTAATAACACATTATAATATATGATGTTTACCAAAGCAGTAACCCTTTGTCACAACTATTTAAAACTATATAATTAAAATATCTAATTAGATATTTTAAAATATCTATTTAAAATATCTAATTAGTTAGCCAATTCTTTGACTTCCAACTCAGTAATGTTATGATGAATATATAAGCATATAAACAGCAAGTCATTGGTCTTCGAACTTATAATGTCTAAAATCTAAATCCAAAACCAGAAAAACTGTCAAACCAGCAATTCATTGGTCTTTGAACTTGTAATTGCTGACATGGAAATTAGAAGTCGAGAAAGGAAATAAAAATTTTTGAAGCACAATATATATATATATTGAAAGTTAGACAAATAAATAAAAAGAATTGGAAGAATAATATTTTGAGAAAGTGTCCACGGCTCTCTGTCACTAATTCGATAAGATAGACCTTCTCTGCATTTTATTAATAATTAACACTTTTTTTTTTTTTTTTTGGGTAATGGTAATAATTAACACCTTGCTTAAGTAAAATACCTAGAGTTCAAGTTCCTGGACAACGGGGTATCAAAGTATTTTTTGCACCTTGAGTTGACATGTATAAATCCTACTGCTAGGTGATTCGGCCAATATTTTCATTATTAAATCTCTCAAAATTTATGTCTTAGTTAATCTAAAAGTATTGTATATTTTTCAAAATATTTTTACTTTCAGAGAAAAAAAAATCTAACAAAAAAAATTTTGAACTTTAAATTCAAATAGTTAGGTAGCCATATGTAACAGGTGGGTACTTATCCATTTATTCAAAAACTTAAGTTGATGGGTAGTGCTGCATAACTACCCATTTATACGCAATCACTTTCTCATTCGAATTCAGAACCGATGTGGGACAAATGGCCCCTTGTAACATTTTCTCACACCCGAACTCGCAACGTTCTCGTTGTGATCGGGGCACCCTGCCTACCTGGGGCTGAATGTCTTTCGAGCGTGGCGCTTGGCGTAGCACCGGATGAAGAACTGAATCTGACTCTAATACTAATTGTAACGAGCAGACGCTTGTTCATTTACCCAAAAACTTAAGTTATTTGATAGTGCTGCATATCGACCCATTTATACTCAATCACTTTTTCATTCGAATCTAATGTGGGACGAATGACTCTTTGTAACACTAGACCACTCGTAATATTATTGTTATTAAGAAGTAATATAAATTATTAGTTATATCTTCTAATCTAATGTAACACAGAGTAATTAAATATTGAGAGTTCATTAATAAAAATTTGTGAGAATATAAAAAATAAAATATGGTTACAAGCCTAATAAGGTAGAGTAATAATATAAAAAAATTAATCAACATTATGTACAATGATAAGCGTTTAATTTAAATAAGTTAGTTGGATAAGCTATGAAATTGATGCATGAATTTAATAAGTTGCTAAATATGTCACGAGTACCACGTGCTCATTCTTATCACAAGAACTTGACCTGAATCAATTCCTAACCGTAAATCCACATCGGGTTTCCAAGAAACAGCCGCCAGCACGACAACCAAACACTCGCCGGACTACAAATTCAAATAATCGTCGGTCCATGCAACTCTAGTCAACTAGTGTGGCTTAACCTTAGTTCATTGTAGATATATAAATATCTATCTATATATGTATCGACGTAAACAGAATAGATATTTACACACATTAAAAAGGGAACCTCAAATTTCAACTCCTTTTTACCTTATTATTGAGAAGTCCCTTTTTAAGGGAAACAAAAAAAAAAAAAAAAAAAGAGAAGAAAACCAAACATATAATTAGTATTTTCGTGATTCCCTTCTTTTAATTTGTAAATATTCTTTCTATCTTCAGGAAAAAATATTCTTTCTACTTTTGTATTAAGAATATATGTTAAGAAGTCTATTACAAAAATATTTAACTACAATTTATATATACTACTGCTTTAAAATTTATTCTAATACTATAAAGTTGATTTTTATTTTCATATTAATAGTTTGAGGAATAAGGTTAAAAATAACCCTTCATTTTTTTAAAATTTTAATACTATAAAGTTTATTTTAATTTTCATATTACTAGTTGACAAACACCCCCCACCCCACATACCGTCCAACATAACGAGAAATTGAGAGGTAGCATTAGTTATAGGGGTGGTAAATTACGATTCCAATAAGACACGAAATAAATGAATTTGGATTAATTTTAAATGGGTTTGGGTCATAGATGGGTTGACACGATTAACCTATTCACTTAACCGTGTTAGTTAAGGTTGATGAGTTCAACTCATGTAACCCGTTTATGACCCGTTTAACCCACCATGTTATAATCGTGAATATGACTAATTTAATGTGTTACTTGTTTAAACCCAATTATTATGGATAGTTAAATCATTTTAACATAAACCTTTACTACGCCTGATGATTTTTCTTCTTATTTTAAATATTTGAGTTAATTGTGACAAAATATTTCTATTATTTATTGTTTAATTAAATATTAAATGTCTCGTTTTAATAAATATGTCATTAAATGGGTTAACACGTTTACCCGTTTGATAAATAGGTCGGGTTAGTATTGATGGTTCTTGATAAATTTATTAAATGGGTCAGGTTTGAGTTTACCTGTTTAATTTAATACTCTTACATCGACACGACACGATTATAACTCACGAACACGAATTGTCACCCCTAATTAGTTATAAATAAAATGACATAAATGTATAGATGGTGGAATAATGAGGGAAAAATAAGACAAAAATATGAATTTAATTAATTAATTAATTTTTTTGTTTTAGTTTAATTTTTTTGTGTTTTAAATATTGATGTTTAATCTACGTCAGCAATAATCTTTTTAATTGGTAATTATTAAGATGTTAAAGAAGTACAATAATGCCCCAACATTCCTTGTCTTTTTAAAAAATAATAAAATAAAAAATAAAATATTGTGAATAATGGATTGAAGCGTGTTGACATGCCGTCGTTCCACTCACTCTCTCATAGATAATTCCTAAAATCACACTCGAGAAGAAAATATAATATATAGTAGTAGTAATTTTTTATAAATAATTAACTTTTGAGCACGTTTTGCTTGATAATATATTTCAAATAACGATTAATTATTTTAAAATTTTGTGTTGGAAGCACGTTTCTTCGTAGGCTGCTTTAGCAAGTAAAAAAATCCACCACTTGTTTATATTTTATTTAACGTTTGCTCTTTTTCTCATCACCTCTCCTCATCCATTCATATGGTATTATTATGTATACGTAGATAAGAGCTAGTCAACCAAAAAAATAAAAATAAAAAAGACTAAAAAGAGACTCTTATACATTTTATTGGATTTAAGAATTGAATCACAAAACAAAATGAAAAATCGAGTTATGTCAAGTATAGTCACCCACTGTGCATAGTATAATCTTTGAATTTTTGTGAGTTAGATACACAAATTCAACAATTATACTTGTTTGCGATTACGCTTGGCATTGTATTTATGGAACTCAGAAGCACTTTATTTTACGTTGAATAATTCATGTTATATGTGTTTTGTGTTTATAATCTATGTATATATTATGATTCGTCATATTAATCGATGTGTGATGTATAAGCTAGTTCGTAACCCTTTTTTAAGGGTTTATCGTTACCCACATCCATAAATTAGTCAATTTGACCGATTTATATCAATATTCATCCGAATTTATTACTTCGCGACCTCAATTATGAACCATGGTATAATTTTTTGTTTGTGAGTTCATAGTTCACACACATTTTGATAAAATGTATAATTTATCTTCACCATTCCGACTTTCAGTTTAATTGTTTCATTTGACAAATTAACTTGAGAATCATTTTTCTTGAATATAGGTTGACATAAATATATAAATAAATTGATATAGGTTTTGAAAAACTATAACTTGTGATACCCTTATTGTTTATTTAGGGTAGCATAAGTGCCACTATGTCACACGGTACAAAATGTGCCACGTAGAGCACCCAAATTTCCTTTGATTGAGTGACTTTTTTTTTTTCGGTTAGCACCAACTA